AGGCACCAGGCACCAGGCACCAGCACCAGAAACAGCACCAGCGCCAGCACCAGCACCAGCACCAGCACCACCACCACCACCACCACCACCACCACCACCACCACCACCACAAAAACAACAACCACAACCAAACCACAACCACAACCAAACAACAACCACAACCAAACAACAACCACAACCAAACCACAACCACAACCACGACCAAAACCAAAACCACAACAACAACCCTTCACCGCCACCTACGACGACGACGACGACGACGACGACGACGACGACGACGGCCACGTCTGCAAGAAACACTCATGCTTGTGACTGCCGCAGAGGCAGGAAGCAAAGCCAATGCCTGCCAGCGCGTCACGCAATGCCATCACGGACTCCTTCCGTCCTGCTGTATAGCAGCGGCCCGAGGGAAGCTCAAAGCCAAACCAGACAGGCTACTTGTGCCCATGCGCATGGGAGCTCTGAAACTTCTCTGGTTCAGCTTCGGTTGCTTTACAACAGAGTGTTGGGGTCGCTTATTTTATGAATCTCCCGTGTCGAATTGCATCCGAGTTGCCAACATCACATTTCTGGACGCGGAGGTCCACGGCACACTTCTGGAGCCAAGACCACTGAGGCCCAACATCCTGCATTCTTTGCAGCAGTTCTAGTGTGGGCTTCACAAGGACATTCTGCAACTCAAATTTAGTGCTGAAGCTGCTTCTCCTCCATACTACGACAACGCTACTGCTGCTGCTACTGTTCCTGCTCCTGCTCTTGCTTCTGAACCTAGTAGTAGTGTAGTAGTAGTAGTAGTCGTAGTAGTAGTAGTAGTAGTAGTACTACTACTACTACTACTACTACACTTGCACAGAACATCTTGTCAATCCCGGCCTTCGCTGGCTGGCCATTGCGCGACAGCAGGCACAAAGCTTTGCAACCTTCCTCCACCAGGAACTGTGCTGTGACCACCCCCAGTGCACCAAGCCCACCAGAAAGGACTGGCATTTGCTTCGGACTGCAAAGCAAGCCTAAGCAGGGTTTAGGGTTTAGGGTTTCGGGAGGCAGCAGAGAAAACCAAAACATTGCCGCTGCGAGTCTTTTAAGTACTAGCAAGACCGGGAATCAAGCGGCAGCACCACTCATATACATGTCGTGGTGGAATGCCAGAAGTATGACGTCCGCAATCTTAACATGAAGGCTTCCAAGGAGAAGAAGAAGCAAAGGAAGAGCTGCTAGAGACTACGATAATGCACATTGCTAGATTGTCCATGCACCCTAGCACGAGTGCTTGCAGACTAATCACACGCGTCGCCGAAGGCCAAGAGGCGGCTCGGCGAAGTGATGACGACTTTTCCGATGTTGCTGGCTCTCTGGAGGAACTGCAATGCCGCGACACCCTTCTCCATGCCATCAAAGGTGTGCCTTAGGCTTGCTCGTGCGGTCGTGCACTGGCGGCATTAGCAGCCAGCGGGAGTCGCAAACACAGCGTCCATCGGTGTACTACTGGCAGTATGACTAATCATCGTCAGGAGCTGGAGCAGAGATCTGATCTGCAAGCAAGGAACATGTTGATGGGACTTAGCCCTCCGTCGTCCACGCGGTGCAACAGCCTCTTCAGGTACGCATTGTACCGCCATGGCTCCTGCAGGAAGCAAGAAACCGGTGCTACAATCAAGCCTGTAGCTCCGCTCCTTTTCCATCATGGTGTCTGCCGCAATCTTCTCATACATGACATCTGGGCCTGAGCGCATGCTTGTACATCGGCTCGGCATGTTGCAGAAAGTCTCCGACCACGACGTGTGTAGCTTCATGTCGGTCTCAACCCGCCATATCGTGCAGCCAAGCCACGGGCTTCGAACATCCTGAGCTCAGCAGACGTGAAAATCAGGGCCCCGGGCTTGCAGGATTCAAATATGAAGCAATTGGACATCCATCCAAGAAGCTGCTCGTGCGACCAGATGCCACGCTTGCCGATCTCAAGGAATCGGCCACCCTTGCGAAGCAAGGCCAACGATCGCGGAATGTAGTCATCGTGGCCTAGGTTCTTGTCACACAAGCTCACAGCAAGGCACTTTCCAATCAGTGCGGTAGCACCGAGGAGCTACGTGTTCAAAGCAAATGGATTTGGTTATTGTTCCAGGAATGCTTGCATGGTAGGCCAGCCGTCCTGGCGCTCCCGCTGTAGGGTAGTGCTCGTTTGCGCGCTTAATGCTTTCTCCCACCACAGTGTGATGTGCGTTTCTGGTGCTTGGGCAGTAGCACTCTGACTGCTGGGGTCTGTTTAACAGTGTTTTGGGTTTGCGGGATGTTCAGAAGTTTAATGGACATGACATCTTATGTAGTCCAAGCGCTGAGACTGTTGAGCACCACGTCGATTCCGTCCACTCGCTGCTCCTGCGGTGTTGACATCACTCTCTCTGTGCTTCCGATGGGGAATTCTGAATGCCTAAAATCTGCGACTGTGAGTCTTTCGGAGTACAAGGGGTAAACTCCAAGAGCCTCAAGGAGCTTCTTCATGTCATCCTCAAATTTCTGTCCATTTCTGCTGCTGGTGATGTACTTCACCTGAAATTGCCGAAACTCCGGCCGTTGCGGCCGCACTTTACACTGCATGTGAGGTGTTGGCTTGCTGTCAAGCTGCACCAAGCCCTCTCAAGAATTCGTGTTTTTCTGATGCGCCAGCAGTGGCATAGACTTCTGCGCCGACGAAGGCCGCATACCTTTTGCAGAATCCCTGCGAAAGCACATGTAACAGTGCCCCAACTCAGGCTACGAATGATGCGTACCACCTTAGCATGGGCACTGGATGGCCACCAGACCCACGCCCCCGGCCGCAGCGTGGATGAGGACTCGCTCGCCCCGCTTCAGCTTCGCAACGTCGCCCAATGCCTCCTCCACTGTTACGAAGATCACCGGCATACAGCAGGCCTGTCAAGACGGTTATGTCTTCTGAGACGGCTCGATTACATATGACCGGGCCTCCTCGTAAGTCCAGGAGGGTGGCTTGGGAGAGAGCAGGGCTGCGGAGCTTGTGTTGTAAGTGCTGAGGCACCCGGGCGACTCGCCAAAAACATCCTCCGCCAGCCGCAAGTGTGGGATTTTGTCCCCAAGGCTGATGACTGTGCCACCGCAGTCGGCGCCAGGTGGACCCGGATCTCCGGGGTAAAGGCCCATGACGTTCAAGACATCGCGGAAATTCAGACCAACCGCACGGATGCGCAGCTGTGCCATCCCTGGTGCGGCTGCTGCTCGTGCGGATGTGGCTTGTGGAACCACGCGCATACCAGCGATGGATCCGCGTGCTGGCATGTTCAGCCGTACGGCTCCGGTGTACTTCAACGCAGATCGCGCAAGCTTTGCAGTCCTGATCTCTCCGTCTCGGATCGCCATCTCCTCCTCTTCTGGCAAGCCCGGCAACACTGTGCACAGCTGGGCCCAGGCATCCGAGTCTTTGCATGCGTCCAGGTCAACGCACTGGATCCGGAGGGCGCCTCAAGGACCGTCAGTATTTGATATTGCTATCATCCTTGTGATGAGTAGAGAACAATTCGTGAGAGTCTTTTCGACACTATTAGCAATGCTACGAACATCGCTACATTCGCGTCACTCGCAGGCTGTTCGACACAACTTGGCCTGGATATTCCATTCGCACGGCACGTGCGAAACCCCACAAACCACTGTGGTCCGGAGCACCTTCCAGAAGCAATGCGATGTGCCGCGAGAGAACGCAAATGCACGTATGTACATGCCGAAGTGTGTGCACATCCATCCATGCCTCGCTGCTTCTTCTGCTCTGTTGCCACTGGCTGGGCTCCGTAGGTCGGCAAGACCACCAAGGGAGCCTCTTAAATGGTTCGGTTTCAAGGGTTCTGTGAGGGTTCCCTGAGGATTCTGCACGGTCCCCGGATTAGGCTTAAGCGCTTTTGGGTCAAGGGGGTTGTCAGCATTCCAGCGACGAGCCTTGCTGCCCAACTTTGCAGCTGCCTCCGGGCACAGGCTCGACAGGGACAAAGAGGCATCTTCCCAGTGTTTCTGTGTGGATTATGGTGTACAACTCGGCAACCCTTCTTTGAAGCCAAGTTTGCGGATTTCTTGCCATGGTCGTAATCACAGCTGTCCTACTAACAACATCGTAGTCACACCGATCACGCCGGTATTGCCTACCAGAATACTTGGCAGACTGTCAGCAAATGCCAGCAGCTGCCAAAACACATGACTCCTAGCTGCATGCCTTGGTAAGGACCATCGCACGCTCCAGAACACTGACGTCGCTGTGCTCGCCACCTTCACGTACCGAGGACCGTGCGAAACAAATCTGCTCCAGTGGCTGAGGGCAGATCCCTGCTGCACCCCGTGAAGCACCATCACATCCCTACATCAAAGCCTACGGGAACAGAGTCTGACTTCTCCAACCTGGAGCAGCTGAGTCTGCAGGAGACACAGCCCAAGCGCTGGTGCTGGCACCAGTGGCCATCAAGCCGTCGGCGAGTATCACGGCAGTCCAAGCTTCTTCGGAGAGTAGTGCAGGCAGGTCCTCTTCGTCAATGCTTCAAGGCGAGCAAAGAAACATATTCTTTAGATCCCTCCGCGCTCAATCGCGCGCCTGGCCCTCCATATCCAGCTCTGCACAGCGGCACCGCGGATCTTCCTTGGCCTTCAGCCGCTGAAGGGCGGAGCGGCTGCCGAGGAGCAGCCACCGCGATGTCGCGGCAGCCTGGCACCAGCTTTTCGAATTTCCGTGCGTTTCCGGGCTTGCGAGCGGGAAATCGGAGAGCCAAGACCTGAGGTTCAGCGGGTCGCCAGGTGACGTCGTAGAGCCTCAGATCACCAACCGACGTGCCGCGATCTGCAAAGCTTTCAATCTGCACCGAGAGGCAGATGCTGCTCCATACCTCCCATGCAACAGGCTCCGGGCATCATGATTTGGGAGCGTAATGCCCAGGAGTCTTTTGGCTACCTTCTTTGCGTTTAAATGCCATGAGCTCGGATCCAAGCCTTGGCGCCCCGAAGCTTGCAAAGTTTTCTGAATATGCTCATCGCCTGGAGCTGTACAAAGGCCAGATATTAGAGTGTTAGAGTCACATATCTGCAGCTCATACTCCACGCTCTGGGGCAGCCACGGACCTCCTGCAGGTGGACATGGTCGAAGTACAGCAAAGCCTCACCTGCATCAAGCTGCTACACTCCAGAGCCGGGCTGATCACACATGACAATAGTATCAATAGTAACAAGAGGGCGCGAGCGGCTGCAAAACCAATGCGGACACCGCAGGAGCAGGCTTACTACGTGGGCCCCGCCTGCATCGTTCAAAAGCCATGAGCGGAAGACGGTAGACTTGTCAGTGAAGTCGATGAGCTGAAAATATGACAGCACACCAATGGAAAACCTGAGTCCAGAAAGAACGGGTATCTGTCCACAGGTGACAGATGCAGGAGTTGAAACTTGCTACGTTGGCTGCACAGTGTCAAAGCCCATCGGCAACGTGACTAGCAGTTGCATGAATACTACTGTTGTTGATAGTACCACTATCTTACTATCTGCAGCAGCAGCGCATCAGCAGCAATAGCGCCAGAAGAAGCAGTACTGGTGGTAGTAGTAGTAGTAGTAGTAGTAGTAGTAGCAGCAGGAGGAGTAGTAGTAGTAGTAGTAGCAGTAGCAGTAGTAGTTTGGTCACCCACTTAGTAGTAGTAGTAGTAGTAGTA